TGCATGTTTAATTCCAACTTTAGGGGCTTCTAAAGTTCCTGCCACTTTCAGCAATTGTGAATTGGTATGCAAATCAGCAGCTAGACAAAGAAGATACATTTGGCATAAACAACCACCTGAATACGTAACTGACGCTCCCTGGTAAATTCAAAATGACGACAATGTCCATTCCCCGCCCCCACATCTCCTAAAATTCTCTCTGTTAAGGTTTCATCTCCCTCCTCCTCATACTTACACTTTCTCTAAATTCTGTTTTGATTTCCGGTGTTGTTTTTCTGTTTTCATTTTGAATTTGTAGGTCTGATTATTTGGATCGTATTTACGATTCCAATGGAATAAATTATGACCATGGAATATTAGTGTTTAAGCCTTTTTATTATTATTATATATATATATATATATATATATATATATATTATAATTAAGTAATTCATCGAGTCTAGAACCCTTTATTTCGGACTCATGAGCAGTGCACATCCACTAACGAGAATTGAAACCCGGACAGTTACGTTATCAGGCAAACGTCATCACCTCTTCGTCACCCAGGCCAACGGGCAGAAAGCACTGGACGGCCGTTTCGTACAGTGCTATCTCTTCGTCACCGAGGCCGGTTGGAACAGTTTGTATGACGTTAGCCTGATAACGTAACTGCCCGGCTTTCACTTCTCGGAAGTGGATGCACACTCCTGATGAGTCCCAAATATAGGAAGAAACGGCCGTCCAGAGCTTTCTGCATTCTGTTGAGAATTATTTAATTATAGTTATATCAAATCGTCCTAGTAATTTCTATCGCATATATATATATATATATATAGAAGTCAACACCTAGAGGCGACAGTCTGTTTCATGCTAGATGTAATCGTCAGGCCTGACGATTGCATTTATCATAAAACAGACTGTCGCCTCTAAGTGTGACTTCTATGTTCACTTTTTATATTTACACACGCTCTATCTCTGATATTGAGCACTTTATCCCATAAATATAGCACATCTTAAGACTATATTTCTTCATATATATATATATATATGTGTGTGTGTGTGTGTGTGTGTGTGTGTGTGTGTGTGTTATGAAAAGGACTAAGTTCGGCAAATATTTTATTTCCTATTTATGTGTTATTTTTATAGATACAAATATTTAAGTAAATGCTCTGTTTATAATAAGCAGAATTAAGAACATTTATCGGCCTGAATTTCCGAGAAATTTCATAGAAAATATATGTCCACCGACAGGGATCGAACCTGCATCCTGTTGGGGGACACATATTTCTTATGAAATTTATCAGATATTCATGCAGGTAAATGTTCTTAATACTGTTTATTATAAACAGACTATTTACCATTTGAAAATTTTCGGACATTACATTAATGTTAACAAAGGGAGAAAGACATTGAAAAATTGTACAAAGATCTTCCTATCAGCTCAAATAAGGAATGGAAAAAGAGAAATACAGGTGTCCATAAATTTCGTCTACACTTGAAAAAAATTATAACTTTATTTGTATTTGCGATAGAAATAATCTGTAAAAAATGTTATAAAATTTAATGTACCTAGTTTTAAGTATAGTTATTGAATAATTCTTTACCACAAAATTTGCAACAATTTTTTCAAGCGTATTACCCTTTGTATTGCTAAACCTGCCGAGGACATGTGGAAACTTAAATAAAATTTCAATAAAACCTTAAAAAATATAGATTTACTTCTTTCTAATCGTTTTTACAAATTATTTCTATCGCAAAGAGTTATTTATACAGATCTGGCAGTACGTAGTAAAATAGAGCTTTGATAAATTGCTCAATCAGAAAACTTTCAGTGCATGCATATATGTAAGTATAAACACGCACACACATGCATACACATAGAGGGTGTTGCAGCAAAATCCGACACTTGACAAAAAAAAAAAAATAGTTAGTTATATACTACATTATTTTTCAATGTAACCACCTCCGCCGGCTAAGACCAACTCAAGGCGGGCGCGAAATGAGTCTCACGCTTTGACGACTCTGTTCTTGTCCATAGCGGCGAACGCTTCCACGATGGCAACCTTCAGAGAGTCGACCGTGATTGTGGACGTGCTTGTTGGCTTTGACATCGATCACACCCCAGAAGTAGTAGTCAAGGGGGTTGCAGTTTATCAGAGATGAACCTCAGCATCCCGGCGGACCCGTGCTTGAGCTCGTTCAGCAAAGTGGCCGCCTTGACCTTCCTCGACTCCTTGGAGGCATTCGTGATGAGCATGCGGTGAGACTTGCGATAGGAGGAGTAACCAATGTCTTTCTTAATCGTTCTGCAGATCGTCGACTTGTGACAGCGTGTTAGCGGCGACCTTGGCGTAGCTCTGGCTTCCATAATTGTTGACTGTCACCTTGACGGCGGCGAAGCACTCGTCGGTCCTAACGGCCGAAGAACGAACGTTGTGGGCCTTTCGTTTAGCAGTAAACTTGTCCCTGTTCTTACACGCCTTCCACTTTCTCCAAATGTCCATGACCATGGTCCTCTTGAACCCAAACCAGGTCATCACTTCCGCAGGCTTCTTCCCGACGCTAAAAGATGCTACTACCGCTGCTCTGCGCTCAGATTCCATCCTGGAAAAGGGTAGAGAGAAAAACATTAGTTAGTTTTCAAACTGTTGGGTCTCTGCAGATACAACTTTTGTTTTTACTGCCTATTTCTTTTTGTTAAGTGTCGGATTTTGCTGCAACACCCTGTACACACACACACACACACACACACATTCACACACTCAAATATATATATATGTATGTGTTTCTGTCTGTCGATGTGTCTGTATGTTTTGAAAAGCTTTATAAAAATCATTGAATATTAAAAATCGGAATTGTTCGTGTGAACTTCTGAAACTTAACCTAACATACTCAGACAAACAGCATCATGCAGGCCTTAACAATTAACACCCAGACTAATCTCCTTAATCATTATCTCATCGCCAATCGTTTAGACATACAACAGCAAAAATATATATTTACAAGCGGCAACCATTTTCTGGTGTATTTTAAGCCAATTTTTTCATCGAAAGAACTAAAGATTAATTGTGCCATTTCTGTATCTTATTCTCGAATGTCGAATTGGTTTCCCGTCACAAATTTCTTTGTTTTCCTTTTCAGACAACAGTTTTTTTTGTCAGCTGTACTTATTCCACTGCACCTTTCACTTTCATAGCTTCTTCTCAACGTTCGTTTTTTCAATGTACAATAATTAACTTCAAATTAACTTTTCTTATCTGATACATTTTTTAAAGCTTTCTTTCGATGGGGACAATTCTTATGACTTCATGAAAGCTTTAAGCATAACACTCGTCAGTCTAGTATCAAACGTGAAAATTCTCTGTAGTGAATTGAGTGACAGAAGATAGGAATAAAATCACTTGCTGAGTATATTCCAATATTCTCACCTTACTTTATTAGCATATAGAGCGAATAATCCGTTATACATCAAACTCCTACACCTAACTCAATGTCACTTATACAAGACTGATGACAGCCCCTATAATCTGATAAAATATCTCTACAAAAGAGCATAAAGGATTGCAATATATTGCCTTATCTAAGACATATTGCTTTATTAACTGAAAGAAATAGCATTTGAGCAACATAACGAAACATTTCTCAATGACTATGAGCCCAATAAACACTTAATATTAACTGCTTCTTTGTTTTCCTAAGTGGGTTAGTTTCATTGCATGAAATTTATGTAAAGTACTCGCCTATCGATATATGAACAATATATGATTTAGATTTGAATACATATGTATTAACAAATGGAATTTTTATTACATATTTAATATTCAAATTTAATAAGAAATAATCAAAGAAAATTCGGTCTTCTGTTAATATTTAATTATTATATAGACTAGTAGAAGCCATGAAAATTGAACCGTTTTCCAGTTTGAATTCTGTTACTTTCATGCTTTCTTTTCTCACTGAAATCACACAGCGTCTCTGGTATGTCTTTTCCGTTTTTCCTCGCGATCAAAACTGAGCAGCCCATTATATATGAGGCATTAGCAAGGGCATTTCTTTCTTTCATTTTGTCACTGAAACCAAGGGATCAAAACCAAACCTTCCGTTATTTCTGAGGTATTCACAAAGCCAAACCTCGTCGTTACGCGCATGAAAACATTGTGAGGGGACAAGCAGCATAATATCATGCATAGTTTAATTATTACTGAACAAATTAAAACTGTTATCTGATAGATTAACCATATGACATTTATAGCATTATATTCCCACCAACAATATTGCGCCATCATAAAAATAATGCTGTAATTAGTTTTGTTGCTATTATTATTATTATTATTATTGACAACACAACATTAATTCACATTCGTTTAATATACCAAAGATTTACGTCATTTAGTGTCCTGCATGTTTCGACTTACCCTTTATTCATTTTTGAAGCTATTTTTGAATAGTTTAGAGTATTCTCGAATTCAGATTGGAACGTAAAACGTAGGTTTTCTCCAAATTACTGTATAAAAAATTATAAAATAAATGTATAACATTTTTCTGCGTCGTTGAAGCCAATGGCGATTTTATTAAAAACATTTCCTTTTCAGCATTTCAAGATATCGTTGTGTAATTTTGGTAAATATATCTGTTAAAATTAGCTGTTAGTGTTTTTTTCCTTTTTGCGAAATTTATACGGCAATTTTCCCATCGCATACAATATATATATATATATATATATATATATATATATATATATATAATATATATTAAATTAAAATGGTAATCCGTGTGGAAATTCCAAGAAAATAAAGATCCAAGGAGAGCTCTATGTCCGAGACAGAGCAAAATTATTAATTAATGAACATCAAACACTTAAAAAAATTATAGGTAATAGTCTTAATTTCATGAAAGCTATAAAAAATAGCCTTCACTCCTACAAACCATATATAAACGGAAAAAATTACTCCAGGTTGAATTTAACCTGGAGTAATTTTATCAGTTTATATTTGAAAGATTGAAGGCTATTTTTATAGCTT